GATGATGACATTGCCTGTGCTGTGATCGCTTTCACCCACCCCCATGGTACTCCCGTCACACGTGTGGCGCTGCGGATCTCCGTCGCGGGTACATCGATAGGCCTTAGCGATCCGCATGCAGCGGAATCGAGCGGCGACCCTGGTTCGTGCTACCTGGTGGGTGTTTTGCCAGACGTTGCGGGCGCTGGACTGGGTAGCTTCGAGGCTTGGCGGGCAGAGTGGAGACATGGCACTGCACCCCACGAATACGGCGCGCCGAATTGCAACCTCACCACAGCTCCACCACCAACCCAGCCGTCTCTTTACAGCTAGATACTCTTCCGTACACAAGCCTCACCACCCACCATGGCCAACATCAACTGGCGGACCATCAACATCGACGCCTTGGACCCCGACAGCCCCGCCAACTTCGACCTAAGCTCCCTCGCTCCCGCCGTTGCGCCTGTCTCGACGGCCGATGTCCAGACCAACGCCCAGTCAATACGGCAACTGCTACGGGGTGGTGACAATGAGGGCGCCCTTCAGAGTGCCTTAGAGAACCCCCCATATGGCGCAGACGACAAGGGAAAGGTACGTTGCGCCTCAGCACAGCTCAAGACAGCTCTGGAAGCTCCAGAGACAAGTCAGAGACACGACGCTCCCAGTCCAGCGGTTTAGATGTCTTTCCAGATATAGACACCTGGTCACATCACCACCGCGTCTCTGGACTTGGGCTACCGACGACCAGGTCGGCGACATTGCACCGCCCAGGACCAAGCTGACAAGTACACCACCACAGGAAGTCCACCTTTCGGTCGTCATCGAGATCCTACAATCCATACGCCAGTCAGACATGTCACCAATGCTCAGCCGGATATATGGTGCGCCGGGTGGAACCGAAGCATTGGACGTCCTGATGAAGTACATGTACGTCCACCGTCTCGTTTGGGTCTCTCACAAGCCTCACCGCCCACCGACCTCTACTGCCCATCGTGCCTTCCCGCATCACCACGCGCCACCGTCGCACATCCAGAAACATAGACTAACGAAAGTACTCGCAGTTACAAAGGCATGGCACAGGGAGCACCGTCAGGCACCAAGCGCGACATCACCCCCCAACCGACCGGCTTCTCGCAGATTCATACTCGTGGCGGCGGCGAGGGTGGCGGCCAAGCCATGAGCGTACTGCTCAGCTGGCATGAGAAGGTACGACCCCACGCACCTTCCTCGTTATTTGAAACTTCCCGCCCACCGGGTCACATCCCACGCTCTCCCACACCACGTCTATTTTTTGTTTCGTCACTAACACACCTCAGCTTGTGGAGATAGCAGGCCCAGGTTCCATTTCTAGGGTTATGAGTGATCGCCGGACAGTTTGAAGTCGTGCTCGCAATTGCAACCACGGCGAAGCGTCATTTCCAAATAAACTCATGGCTGGCTAATCGCTAGCTCATCACCTCGATAGCGTTCAATCGATATGGACGCGCACACAATTAGGCCCAACGGCAAAAGCAGAACCCGAACAAATCAAGACACGTCCTCTAGCCCACGGCTTTCTCTCCCGTCTTCCTGCCTAGATACTTCTGAACCCAAAAATTTCACAACAAGCATATCCTCCAGCGCGCAATATTGACCACGCAAGCCATCGCGATCTCTCGCAATTTTCCCTTCGTTCCCAATGACGCCGCAATCCATGTCCATGCACAACTCACTGCGCGCACAGACAACCAGCCTTCCTACCGGCCTTGCATCATTCCCCAAACCCTTCTTCAGCCCTACTTATCCCTCCCTTCGCAGACGCATCCTCATTTCGCGGACACGGGAACCGCTTTCACGCTAGCCCGCGTAACTTTGATTAAAGCGGCAAGCCCAGCGCAACGCCAACACTGCCCTATCGACCGCGGCATAGCTTCCACGCGAAGTCTCGTGTTGTACTAGCGTCAGCTTCCCTTCCAGCCCGACGCTTTCCCACGCTAGCTTCCCAGATAGGAAAGTACCTAGGATGGGCGGGCAGGACGTGGTACGCTATACCTAGTACAGACGCCGTTGGGTGCTGAAACACCGTTGGCACGGGTTGCGAGTGATGATCTCAATTCTTTGACAGACCGGCACCACTCGAAGTTTATAGGTGGGATTATTTGAAACAGCGACGCGACGGGGAGGAAGTTTGTCATGGGCTTTATCGATTAGGCAGGCAGTGGGATGATGTGGTACGTATGATTTGTCGCAGTTGTGTATATGCAAGCTTTCGCTATGTAACACAGGAAACACGAAATGCATGTTTCGGTCGCGAGGACCTTGAGTTTGGGTTGGATTGTTAGTTGCGCTGTTGCTGGTGCGGTGCGGGTTGCTGGACTGGAATGCACGCGACTGGAATGACAGCTCCCAACCTGTTTGACGCGCGCGCGCTGAACAGGGCTTGGTTCGTTTGATGCGCGAACGTGTTTCTAGAAAGACGTACCTGGAAGGGTACAAGGTGGGTTCTTCGGGGGTTATGCGTAGGGCTGCGACATGTCATTACGCCGAGCTTGAGCGCTTTTCTCCGTACCCTCCCCCGTCTTCCGTTTGTCATTATGACTGATGGCCAAGGCAATCACACAGGAACCTTTTCATCGAGTTTCAAATCTCCATCGAGATGGTATTTGGAAGGTTGGGTTTAAGATGGCAAATTCAGTACAGCTGTCAAATCTTGGGCGACAGGCGAGAAGATATGGGACTGGTAGGTAGGCTGGCACGCTGGTAGAGTTCCAGCGATTGAGATTGAGATTGATTTGATTACAAGTACCCTTGGTACCTCGGTCCCACAATCGGCACATCACCGGCATTAACACCGTCCGATCTCGCCTCCTCGGTACAATACAACAGCAACCCATCCATCTCCAACATCTCCAATTCTCCCCCTCGTCTCATCACCTGCGTCTCACATGACCAACCGCTCATGCAAACCCTTCAAGCTCCTCCTGGTTTAGTAACGCAGTAACGCGTTGTGGTTTTGGAACAGTCGAACCTGGCACCTTGTCTGCATTGAAATGCGATCGCTCGGCGCTGTCGCTGTCGCATGTTTACAGGGAACACGGGTTCGGAACCCACGTGGGAAATGTGTTGCAGTGGGGCTTATGTCAGACGACGTTCTTGGGTATGACATGCATGCAGATGGAGTCCGTGTCGGGGCTGCCGAGGAAGAGGGTAGGTTGACGCGACGTTGGGTTTCAGAGTTGAGGAGGCTGACGGCGAGGGCGTCGGATCCGCTGGCTGGAGGGCTGGAGGGGAGCGGAGCCGCTTGGAGGCTGTTCTTTTTTTGTGTAGGTGAGTTTGCGTGTATGTATGAACAAGCTGGTGTCGTAAGCGCTGAAGCTTGGTGATCGATATAGTTGCTCTTCGTGGACAGAACCTTTCCTTGAGGTGCAGGTCGAGGTGGGTTGTGGCGGTAAGCCGGACGTAGACATGGAGTAGTTTCTCCCTTTGCTGCAATGATGATGCCGATGACGATGACGATATGTCTTGTTCTCTGGGTATTACAGATGAAGCGATGTTTGTCTACCGATGCCTGGCAGGACCGCTGCGAGTATCACAAACCACGTTATCAAGAATCGAGGCTGGTTGTCGAGATCATGTTTTCCATACATCGCGTTGAATCACGGAGATGTCACGAGAAAAACTCCAATACTTCTCCCCCAGGGTCTCTTTCGTGCTCTACGCATATCTCCCGTATTCGCATACGCTTTCGCAACACTTGAGTCTTACAATTCCCCTCGCATTCTCATCCTCCCATCCTCTCACAGTCTTATTTCCTTTTTCTTTCTCATGACTCTCCCGTCCACCAGGCTCATTACTCCTGCTGACTCTCGCAGACTCGCAATGCACACGACTCCTGCTCTTTCGCCTCCATTCTTTAATCTCATTATATCATTACTCGCGAAGCAAATGCGTCATGGCATTCCCTCCAAGCCATGCAACAAACCCACCTCTTTTTGCTCTTTCCACCCATAAACTTGGTCGCGCCACGTATACTCGAATCCAGGTCATCGTGGCTTTTACGCCACTGCCATCACACCCACTATCTCACTATCTCTCGCTCCCTCCCGTCCTCCCGAGATCTCATCTCTTCTTTTTCCGTATCATTTTTATCGCTCGCAAGCCCTCGCGTCACCATGGTTTGTCGTGGCTTGTCGTGGCTCGAACTGTCACAGGGTCTCCTTTCTTTTTTCTTGCTTTTTGCTTCCGAGGAGAAAGTGGTGTGGCAGTGGTGGGTACGGGGAAGCGAGGGAGGGTTTCAAAATATCCCTATGGGTGTGCACTGTTCCGTCGTTCCGGCAAAAGAAACGTCGTGGTGGCGTTGGGTTGGAATGAGGCTGGCGCCGGGGATATGGATGGGGGCGTGATGGGGGCTGAGGGAGGTAAGAGGGTATGTGGTGGTGGGGAAAGCGGTGTTGGGAAAAGGTTGTATGGGATGCTGGGTATGAGATAGCTACTGTAGACCAAGTCTTGAGTCTAATGTTTCTGACAGCGTGCAGCTCATCGATAAGTTATGCGGCGAGGATCTGAACGTGTAGGCTAACCGTGCACCCGCGACCCCAAGTAGCTGAGTAGGGATAAAGGTAGATACTCTCTGCGTTGAAGAGATTGCTATACGTGGGTAGCATTGTCACCTTGTTGTATGACATGCCCACCTTTAGGCATCGACTCCAATCTTTCACGAAGAAGACAACATCACAGCATGTACATCCAGGATCGACATTCGACAACAGTGCATCCACGTCAGCCTAGGGAAAAACTGAACACCGTGGAGCCTACATTATGGTAAAAACATACAAAGTAGGTGGCCCAAGGTCAACGTCGGCTCCAGGGTCTTCATTTTTTTCCATTGTATGAGGTATGCATCATCAACATAGCTAACGCAACGATCGAAAGAATTACTATTATTCATTCTCATCCAAGTAAACAAGCTACCAGGGTATCAATACTCAATATCCCACTCATGCCTAAACGCCTTATATACCAAAATGCCCTCCATCAAACCCTCATCTAGACTCCTGAGGACTCAACGGTCTCTCGCTGATGAAATCCTTGTTCTTGTCCAGTAACTCCTCGCTACGCTGCCTAATCATCTCATCCCTATCCGGATCACCCTCTTGTAGCATCCTCTGCACTTCGGCCCTATTCCGCTCTATAAGCGTCTCGATAGGCGTCTCCTCCACAAGGGTCTCTTCGACAGGACCATGCACAGCACCCCCACTTCCCCACCTTCCGAGAGCAGGTGGGTCTGCGGGTCCGTCTCTGACAACGCTGATGTCTGTTTTGTGCTTCTTCTTCAGCTTGTTCAATTCCGAATCCCGACGAGGAGTCCAGGGACCGGGACGACTGGAAGGACCGCCACGGGAAGAAGGACCGGCATGGGAATTGTATGTGGGAGGAGCCGATCGGACTGGAGTTCCGTCCTTGTACGCGGTGACGACAGAGGGCGACTTGCTTATGTTCTGCAATTCATGATTTTGGTGAGGCGAGAGACCAGGACCAGCGGGGTCGGGACGAGAGAGGTCAGGACGGGAATCGGCTGTGATGGTTTTACGAAGCCAATTCTATACGGCATTGCCTTTCGGTTCGGGCTCTGCGTCATCTTGTGCGCCATCAAGATGACGGGCATGTGCGGAGAAGACTCCGAGCTTGTCGATGTGGTTCAGCGAATGCCAGAGGAGATATGTACTAGACAAATGAGTCAGTAAGAGTGGTACGATAGCACCTCATACAAGGGAAAAACTGAACACCCTAGAGGCTACATCAAGAAGAAAACCTGCAAATTAGGTGGTCTAACGTCGATGTAGGCTCTAGACCTGTCCAGGTTTTCTCTAGCTTGAGGTGATAGGACCGATAGAGGTGACTTACCTGACAAAAGTGAAGATCATGCCCGGCCACAAAAACACAACACTAGCAATCGCCCGCCCATTCTTGTTGTAAGCGAGCGGAGTCTCACCGGCCTTCTTGAACTGCGACAACAGGCCCTGTCCGCGCTCGAAGTCCGTGCCGGTAAGGTGCGCACTCTTGCTCGCGGTGATGTACGTGTATGCAAGGGCGTCGGAGAGCGTAAGCATGCAAGCAAAGACTGAGCAAGCTTTCCAAGCGTTGATGACGCCTCTCGACTCTTGTCGCTCAGGCCAGAAGAGATCGAAGAAGAAGGCGGCACCGAAAATGGTGGCGACGAAGATACCAACGAAGATGTTGTACGATGCGATGCCGACGAAGTTGTTGTTGTGGATCATGACGTTGCGGTCGAGCTTTGAGACGAACTTTTGCTGGTCGACGTAGTCTGCTGGATGTTAGATAATGTTCAAGTTGGAAGATCGCAGACGGTTGTCGTCGCCACCATGAGCAGAAATGGAGAGAGATGCCATACCAGAGAGCGCAGCCGTTCCCAGACTCTCACTGACAACGCAGAGAATCATGGCGAGTTGGTAGATGATGAACTTTGTCCGGCGGTTGTGATACGTGTTGTTCCACATGTAGCCAGACTTGAACTTGCCCCATTGCATCTCCTTCATGTCGAGACCCCAGATTACCGCCATCGTGACTGAATATGGATGCTAGTAATGAGATGAAAGATGGAGTTGCCTAACGAAGTGCGCGCGATAAGTTGGCTGAAGTGAAGGATGGCAAGTGAAGCGCGGGAAGGCCGGATAGAATACACCTCCGACGTATTGGTCGCGATAGCCAGGAAACTTGTCTGTAAGGTAAGCACCGCGCGAGTATCGAGCCTCCCCGAGGTCCCACGGGCAGTTGCATACTTAAGGGTCCTCTTTCCTGGCCACTCCACACCACCTACGTCGCGCCTCCACCCTCTCCGTCAGCCATCACCGACGCAATCGAATTCTTTCAATGTTAAATCCGTCTCCAGACCCGCCCAGTCCACAAGGGAAACAAGCACCCGCCAACCGTCGCGGTGCTGGCGTCGATCCTACGCCATCGTTGCTTCGCTGAAGCTTATCACTTCCACGCGCAGCCCCAGACCCACGAATGACAGTGCGAAAACAGTATTAATCAGCGTCTCGGCTGGGGTCGGCGAAAAGATCACGATGGGAAAGTTGAAAGGTGATTGGGAAATGTGGTTGGGAGGAGGGTGGGTGCGACGTCATCGAGCGGGATGTCGGTGGGGACTTGCTTAGCGAGAATGCTTAGTGCACGGGTGGGGCGTTCACGTCATTTGTTGCGCTTTCTGCACGCGAGGGGCTTGATGTCACACGATTTGGAAGGATGTGAGAGCGGTAGATATCTCCGTTGTTTGGATGTCACGCACGTCATTGCAGGACTACTGCTTGAGCAGAGTCAGTTCCTTCGAGGCATATGAGCTGTGAGTCTACCCACGGACAATACCTAGGTATTTTCTCGAGTGTTTTGTCTAAGCCGGGTTCTGTAGCCACGAAACCCAGATCCAACTATGTGGTGTAGGCCTCACCCGACATCTCGACCTCTGTGACATAGCCAACAACGCCTCTCCTCACCCCACTCATCTATGCGCTCCCCATAACAAGAGCTCTGTTATCTTGGAAGATTTCGTGTAGATGTATCTTATTCCTCCGCCCATCGTCCAGAACCGAACTTCGAAGTCTCAGAGACCGGAATGAAGCTGTGCCTGGGGCTGGGGCCGGATTGGGGACGTCTTTGATCCTGAACAACAAGTGTACACCAACTCTCAAATGCCTGGGATAATTGTTTCTGAAGATCACAATTTCAGTGACATGCTTGGTACCCAGCTCTGCCTTGTGTTGGAAAAGCAAGAAAGCGAGCGTGCGACCCAATGGAGAGCCTGGGGTGCGTCAGCGTCGTTACCACCCACAACCCTTGGATGTTGTATGGGAGTAGGCCAGGACTGGTTCCGTCCTGTTTGCTCCTGGGCAATGTAAGGCGCTCAAGACTACTCACCAAGTAACGCTGGGCCTTCCTCGTCGTACATGTTGGCTATCACACCAGGCCAGTACGGTACCTCCTTGAGACCATGATTCTCCAACACTCTGTTGATGAGAGCGAGAGTCATCGTATTCTTGATGGTGAGCACAAGATAGTACTTGAGGCTTTTGGGGTCAATATTGCCGCGAAGCCAGTACGCCATCATGATGTCCGAGGCGCGCTTGAGCTCCGGGAGGCTAGCTTCTGCTGGGCTGTCATCCCAATTTGCCAGTGCTGCTGTTCTAGGGTTGAGGAAGTCGAGACCAATGATCACTTTGAGCTGTTAGTATATCTCCTAGTATGGTGTGCGTGAGTAGAGCCGGTAGCGCACGAAGGTGAGTCTACGTCCACTCGGAGATACTTACGTCCGCCTCGTTGGTTGATACCGAATCGAACATGCGCACCGGTACACCGCTCCCAAACACCATTGATGTCGTAGTACTGGTTTTGCGCCGCAAGAGCGTCTCCATCGTCATCTTCGGCGCGCTCGTTGTAGTGTTCTATGCTGTAACACACATTATCTCCGCCTTTTGTATGGGGCCTGGAATTGATACCAAGATCCTGGAACATAGTTCCTATAAAAGGTCAGTATCTATCAAGAACGATATCCAACCCTGAAGACTTTCAAGGAGGAATAGGAATGAACGCCCTCGCGCAATCGACGTACCGACCTTGTTGACATGGTAATCTTCGTTATCATCGGCAAATTGGCAATGCGATTTCTGGTCATATTCGCCAGTAAACCAACCCCAGAGACTTATCTCACTTGTGAGCGCGGCATCGGGCCATTGATTGCGCGCCGAAGGCGGTGTTCGTGTGTCCATATTTAGTCTACCAGCAGCTTCGTCCGTGGCTTCGAGTCGACATATCAAATCATCTCCCTTCTGGCGGGCTGCAGCCCATTCTGCGTCATCCGCGACCTTCTCAGGTTCCCATAGGACGTGTACCTTGGTAGGCTCATCGCTGGCTATATCTTGGGTAAGAGCGATCGAGGCCACGACAGCTATGAGCGTTAAAGAGAGTCTCATGGTGGGCTGAGCAGAAAACCCAGGTAAGTTTGAACAAACTTGAGTAGCTTGAAAAGAGATATCGGAGTTTTTAGCGATGTGTGTTGAGCCAGAGTGGGGCAGCAAACAACCGCCATTCCTCTCACTAGGGATTGCAACATGACAAGGGAGATAGATAAGGAAACTGACATTCTAGGGTATCGTGGCTTCCCAGTAGACACCAGCGCCACGCAGATTCAAACCAGCCGCCCATACCCATATCGTACATTCAAACGTATAATAGCCAGTCGTCCTAACATCTCAATGAACCTCTTATTCAACCATCCTTCTCATCATCGTCATCATCATCCCCCTTCCCAGGCACAGTCTCCATCTCCACCTCGCCCTGCACCTTGCCCTTGCTATCCTTCTGCACAATGCGATACTTGCCGCCCTCCCAAAGATCCTTGAACGTAAGTTCCTTAGTCCTGCCGAGACTCTCAATCGCACCGATACGCTCGAGCGTCGCTTCCAGGAAATCTTCGAAACCTGGCTCGGCGCAAATCTCGTTGAAGGCGCGTTGCATGGGTACGGAGTCTGCGCGGACAACGGCGTGCGAGTCGATGGAGAAGATGGAGAGGTCGTGGTGCTGGCGGATGAAGTCGGAACGCGTCATGATGAAGCGGGCGCGGTGGAGGGGGAAGGAGGGCAGGATGTGGCCTTCTTTTGGGTCGTAGGTTGATTCCATGTCGTGGTAGAGTTTGTAGAGGGCGTTGGCTAGGACCATGGCTGTGGACTGTAGGGATTAGTCTGAGAAAGTCAACGAAGAATATTGTATACGTACAGCATATTTCTGCTGGTCCATGACATCGTCGTCCATTTCCTCGCCGAGAATCGCGCAGTTGTTCAGGAACCAGATCTTTTCCATTTCGCAGATGCTGTTGCATTTTGCGACCATGTCTTCGGACTTGGCGACGCGGTTGAGGAAGGTTAGGCGTCCGCCGACTTTGTCGTATACTTCTTCGAGAATGGAGTCTTTTACCTTTTCGCCGTAGTACTTCATTCGGTAGTTGCGCAGGGCTTGCATGGCCCGGTCTTTGCTCAGATCCTTGATCTGATGGACTTCCATGCGTGTCGCGTACTGCTTTAGTCGTTCAAACACCCAGTACTTGTCCGAGTTGATGATGACGGTTGCAAGGTTGGCGGCTGCCCATTGCTCTGCCCGCTGCTGGATGAGTTCGAGCAGGTCTCGGCCGTCGTCATTGTCTCGGATCAAATGTGCGGAGTTGATAATGAGAATGAGCGGTCTGCCGACAGTTGCGCGTCGTCGCAAAGCTACTTTTTCGAGCTTGTTGAACGCGCGCTCAATGTCAAGAATGGCACCTGCATCGCGAGGCCCACGGATAGAGAATAGCGATCCAATGTTGTCCTCGTGGTACTCAAAGTCGAGACAGCGACCTAGCCGTACACGGAAGACTTCGAGATCTGCATGTGCTTCCATCATCGAACATCCCTCACCATTAATCTTATCCATGGCATCGATGAGCATGGAAGTCTTCCCAGTCCCTTTCTCGCCGAGAAGCAGATGGTAGCGTCCTTTCGTCTCACCCCAGACGATCTTGTCAATTCTTTCCTGCTCATCACGTGGGATCCAGCGATCATAGTCTTTATCGTCACCGTCCAGGTCCTTGCTGACTTGTAGTCGAGTAGGCTCACCTGCTTTCGGCATCTCCTTTCCAGTAGCTGCAAGCTCTAATACAGGATCGCCTTCCCGAAAAGCGTTCTCCATCTTTTCAAGCACGTTCCATTTGTAGTACTTAGTATAACCAATGCCGACGCATCCAAGGATGAAGATGCTGGCTCCGGTAGTAGCAGCAGCCTCAAACATCTTCCAGGCTGTGCTTTTCCATTCTGCCTTCTTTTTCTCGCGTTTCTCCTCTTGCTGCTCTTCCTCTTCCTCCAAACGCTCTGCAGCGTCGTCAATGGGGTTTGGCGCATCGTTGCCAGGAGTCGGAGGACCGGATTGGCCACTCAAAGCGCGCGCCAAAGAGGGCTGGCATAACCTTGTTCTTTGCAGTACCGGACCAGCCTGCTGAGACCGATACGCGAAAGGTTGTCGTGTCAACGCGGCATGAGCGCGCGTGATATGTCGTAGCATTAACATTATTGCGCTGGCGCGTTCCAAGTCACGTTGGTGTCGCGTGCTTTCCAATGTTACACGTGTCAAACGTAGGCGCAGCCAGAGGTTCAACAGACGTGGAATGGACTAGGAAAGGAATGAATGAGAGTTAAACGAGAGACAGACGCGTGAAAGGAGAGATGATTGAGATGGACGGGACGAGATTGGAGGAGAGGGACGCCAAAGGAGGTACCGCGGCCTTGTTACGCTGGTGTTGCGATAATTTGCCGCAGGGGCCAAGTGCGAGTGCCAAGTGCGAACGGCAGGAGCGACCGTGGTGACAGCATGGTGGAACTCGCGTCAATCACCATATCGATAACCGGCGTGAAGACAGACACGGCGTGTAGGACATGGCAACTCATGTACTCCAAAATTCACGCGATATTGCTGACCCCGGTGCATGGGGGCCGTTTTCCCGATGACATGCCTGTGGCCTCGGAAGTGGAGAGCGAGCTTA